CTCAACCGCAAGGATCCGATCGCAGTGTGCACCGCTGGACCTCAACCAGATAGTTTGCCAGATAAAATGCCAGATAGAATGCCAAGTAGATTGCCAGATAGAATGCTGCAAGAAGATATGCCAGATAGTATGCCAAATAGTGTGTCAGATAGATTGCTAGATACATTGCCAGATAGAATGCCAGAAAATATGCCAGATAGAATGCCAGACAAAATGCCAGATAGAATGCCAGACAGTATGCCGGATAGTATGTCAGATAGATTGCCAGATAGAATGGCAGATTGAATGGCAGATAGTATGCTTCAAACACACAAGCAAAAACACAACCACAAGCTCACAACCACAAACACAACCACAAACACACAAATACAAACACATAACCACAAGCACGCAGCCACAAACACAACCACAAACACGCAACCACAACCACAACCACAAACACAACAACAAACACAGCCACAAACATAACAACAAACACACACCCACAAAGACACAACAATCGACTCACAACCACAGACACACAACCACAAACACTCAACCACAAACACACAACCACAACAACAAAACCACAAAGACGCAACCACAAACACACAACCACAAACACAACCACAAACATAACAACAAACGCACACCCACAATCACACAACAATAGACACACAACCACAAACACAACCACAAACACACAACCACAAACACACAACCACAACAACACAACCACAAAGACACAACCACACACACAACCACAAACACACAACCACAAATGTCACAAACACACAATCACAAACACAACCACAACCACAACACAGCACACAACCACAACCACAACACACAACCGCAGCACACAACCCGAGGACCCACAAGCAAAATCGAGAACTACAATACTCACGACCATGGCAACATGCTCCTCACTATGGCATCAAGTCAAATGATTGAAATGTCATGGTGGGGATCACTCGAAGTAAAGTAATTTGTGTGTTTTTTTCAGTAGCTCACAAAAGTCCTTTCTGGAACTGTTGTGTTTGAGATCATCGGTCGGCCCACCTTGGTTTGGCCAAAGCTGGCAGCCACCAGCACAGGAGTGAGTCCCAAAGTTTGGTCGCCAGCCGGTGACAACTGCAGCGCTGGGGCTGTGGTTGCCTTGTCTATGTGGGGTTGAAGGAAGCAATGAACTTTTTGTGATGTTTGTTTGAGTTCTCCCAAAGGAGTCTGTTGAACGAGAAGTTTCTCTGTGGTGCCGCTCCGATACATTGATGTCTGCACCATTCTCCACAAGCCATTTTAGATTCCTGGGGTAAGTAGCAAGGCGGGCAGTTGGCAAGAACTGCGAAAACTATCGAATACTGCTGGGTTCAAAAATGATTTTCTGTCTGAGAGGCTGGAGATTCCCTACTTCAGCAGCTCGATGAGTAGCCCTCTCTCCTGCAAGCCACCATTGCAATCAAGAAAATGCCTCTGGCAGTGGACCTTGTTACTGTAGTCGTATCATCGTGCCAAATCAAGCAAAGGCAAGGGCAAATCCACGGTGTCCTGTATCTCTAAGCGGAGCCTCAGATCAAATAACAATATCGCACCTTCAAGAAGCACCGTTCAGTTCAGGACTGGGGAACCAAAGCACAGAGGACGGGCAAGTCTGACGAGGGGCATCAATTGCCCCCAGGATCTTCTCTGTCTCCTTAAGCATATCGCAAAACCTTAATAAGCAAATGCACCAAAGGTGATCCAAAAGTGTTGGAACGAAGGTGCCCTTGCTTGTCAGGTCAGAACTCCAACCGATCCTAAACCCTCTACTTACCTCACATGTCGCACTTTGACCTAACATTTTGGATAACTATATATAAATGCACCTAAACCATCTTCTACCTAGACCGGAAGGTTCTGAAACTTTGGACCATGCGGCCGCTTCCACGCATTCAGAGCATCTGCTGCTCCATCCTGTTCACACCACTTCCAAACTGTTTGCACATTCTGCGGGGTGCAAGAATCATGATGCTCCTCTGCATAAATGAAAGCAAAGTGCATTTCTTCGACCACCTGGCTCATGCTGAGCGCTTAGAAAAAGTGGTCGAAACATCTTCAGACCCGAGATGTTTCGCTTCAGGTCGTCAGCACCTCTGGGCTCAAAGGTTTCCCAAACATTTTGCCAACTTCGCCAGCCTCCGAAAGATCCACTCAAAAGCACCATTCACTAGCAAGAACGCTATTGGGTGGAGGCCATTACTAAGAGGAACAAGAAGCTACTAGTAGCAAGGACGCTATAGCACCGTTCTCTCACTTGATATGACTTGATATGCTTGGCTCCAGAAGCTCCTGAGATTTCTTCTCTGCTTCATTGGCAACCTCGCAAAACCTGGTGGAAGTCTCAGTCGATGTTTGAGCACGAGTTCAATTTCGAAACTTCGGAATTGTCCCTGTGCTTGGGCTGCTGCTTTGCAAACTTTGGGTCATCATAGAATGGGCGACCTGCTAATCAGGAGAAAGCAAAGAATCTGACGACCAAGTAGGTGCAGGAAACTGAGACGGCCTTGAACAGTTTCGCCGTGCTCCAAACGCCATCTGACCAATTTGAGCTGCTCATCTGAAAGACCTGCCATGCCTCCAATACCGAAAGTCCATGTCAAGTCTTGAACTATGCGTTCCATGGAAGTGAGCACCACTCACTTACGCATGTGAGACTGAAAGCACTTCTTGGCCAATGCTCAAGTCCGAGTCTAGGCTTCCGGCTCAAGGGCAATGGTCTGCAAGGGGAAATGGTAGCTGGTAGCTATCACTGCATCTACATTTGAGTTCTGAAATGGTAGCCAGCTGCGCTTTGTAGTCCTGCTGCCCATTAAACCATGGTAGATGGGAGTTGGATCACAAAACACACACCAAAGTTGCCTGAGATCTTTAATTGTTGAGTCGGCACAAAAATAATGTTCTGAGGGGGAGGAATGGGGAAGCGAAGTGAAGCAGAGCAACAGCGAGACCGAGGAGATGCTTGTATCTCCCAATCACCAAGTTCAAGAAGATTCTTTGCTTCCGACAATTGCTGCTTCACGATCAAGTCGCGCTTGCTCCTGAAGTGTCCTTCTTTTCTCCTCACGGTGAGGTGAGTGTACTGCTGATGTCTCACAAGTAAGGTGTAGATGCGGAATTGTGTAGGGCGTGATCAAGAGGGCGAGCAAAAATGTCGCAACAAGAATTCGGTAGGGCAGAATGCCGGGGCACAGTCTCCTCTTCCAACTCCATATTGTTCCTCTTTCTCATTTCTTCTTGTCGCAGAAATTGCTCATGCCTTAGCTGCTTTAGAATCCAAGCAACTCCGAGGACACCACCTGAGAGCCAAACTGCATCTGCAGCTGTTGGTCAATTTGTTTCTGCTGGTCCTGGTGAGGTGCAAACAGAGGGATGAATTCGTTTCTGCTGGTCACGTTGTCTTTCATTCTGTCTTGTATGGTTTCCTCTCGAAAATGTGAATGGTAACACCGAAAAAGTGCAGCATGTCCAAAGACTTGCAAAACTGATACAGCCGAGGAAAACTTCAGGTTCCTCCAGTTTGCTCTGGTAGAGCTCACTGTCCAGCCGTGCCTGAGGGCAAAATAGGAAAGTCCGAAAGTCCTCCTAGTTCTTCAAATCGAGGCCTATCAATCATTGCAGCCTTGTACTCTGCTGTCCTTCTTTCTTGCTCTTGCTGGTGAGAGATAGTTCTCCTGCAGCATTTGAGTCTAGCTTTGTGACTCGACTTCTGAGGCAGAAAGCTTGTTCTGTCGAATTGGCAATTTCATGCAATTGGAAAGTTGTTGACCTGCAAGTGACAAGTGCGAAAACGTCCTTTTCTCTTCAGCATCCTGCTTGTTGCGCTGCAGCGCCGCCTCCCGCTACCGAAAGTGGCACGGCAGCAAGAGGAAAAGCGGAGAGTACTGCCGATAAGCATGAAAAACAGTGCCGAGGATGACCAAGGAAACAAACAGCCTCTTTCCCAATCTCTCCCCACGCTCCCCCCCTCTCATCTAATTTAGAACCCCTGATCGCAGCCTGTGTTCGCATGGAAGTCTGCTGCTCAATCTCCAGCTGCAACTCCTGTGGCTCAGCTCGCAAGCTCGCACACTCCCTCATGGAAAACATTGATTGAGCAAAGCGGCATCCAATTCTATAGGAAAATAGAATGTCAACCCCTGTTTGCCCCACAGCAGCTTGATTTCCCATCCCAAGGTATTCGGCCTTCTTTCAACGACGAAATCCCAGTCCTTCTGCTTTGTTTGTTCTGCAAGCTTGGTCAGTTCGAATGCCTCATTGTCTGTCTCTAGTCTTGATGTTGTCACACATCCACGCAATTGTTGCTCGCCTTTGTGGCATTGGGAGAGGTGTCAAGCTCCCTGAGAGCCTTGCACAAATCCAAGGCATGACTCGTACTGGTCCTATTATGTCCTATTTATATACTGTGAATGATACAAAGCACAAGTCTTTACAGTCAGTTTTGGTGTAGGTTCGCTAAAATCATGCAAGTCGTGGCAAGCCTTTCGCTTTCGCTTTTGCGGAGCTTTCGGATGTTCGATTGGGTGGTGGCTGTCCACCAGAGAAGGGAGGTTTTCTGTCCAATCAAAAAAGCAGTTTGCAGAAACATACAGAAAATAAATAATCAAAAAAATTGAGGTCGGCCCGTTCTTTCTGAGCTCGATCAGCCCTGCGGATCTCATTCCCACAACGGCAGCTGAAACGTCACGAATGCACAGTGTTTGACCTCCCCACACAAGACAAAGATCTGAGATCAACGTCTAGTGATATGTGGTGATTCTCGGCCGTGTCAGGCGGTGTCATCGCTGCAGTCGTTTGAGCCTTGGGAGCCTAGCCGTTAGCCTTAACCCAAGTCGAGCTGTGGTCTGCCTTTTCAAACTTCACTTTTGTTCTCCAGATACAAGCAGCTGTCTGTGGCTGGTTTTGCAAGTTTGATGGCACTTTTAACACGCATAGTCCCTTTCATGCAGCATAACAACTATATACATACATCATTGTCAAATCCTCTGTGAAATGTGTTCCTTGTGAGGATTGCACAATGTCCCTGGTTGAGTTATAGAGGAGACGGGCTCCTATGCGATCAAAGCCCTGATTCATTGTGAAGCCTTCGCCTCTTTCTGTCTGAAGCTTGACGGACGACTCACAGTCTCACAGCTTTTGTATCACCCAGCCTTTGCACCCCTCTCCAGCGCTGTTGGATCGAACTTCCCTGTAATGGAGTGGTCCTCCTTAAAAGCACTACTTGTTCAAAAAAATCGAACACAAACAACTGCAGCAAAACTTAGATCATTCTTGTGGTTCAAACCAAATTTACAACAGACCTTGAGCAAATGCTGGAAACTGCTACTTCATTCATCTTCGAGCCTTCTTCTCATCTTTGCTTGAACTACTTTTGGGATAGTACCTGGCTTGAAGCAAATCGCGGTGTTCAACCGTGCTTGCCTGAAGCATGAAAATGGCAAGCCGGTGCAGCATGACGGGCGCTGCCCAAACCAGACTCTATGCTTCAAATGACTGTCTTGCTTGCGGTTGCTCTCAACCTATTCAGACCGGCAATGAGACACCATGCGTTCAACCTGCCAAAATGGGGTGAAGGCTTGTTTGCGGTTTGATATGTTTCTGCACTCATTTATCTTGAAGCGAAGCTCGAACCGATGTTCAAGCAACGGAGAAACACTGTCCATAACTTTCTGCTCTTTGACAAGTAAGAATGTCCCGCAACAAAAGCAAATGTGAGGACTCAAGACGAGCAAATGATAATCCACCCAACTTGCTCGATCAAAATGAATCGAAGGGTAAATCAATTGTCATTTTGAGGATCCAACACCTCTGAGGCGAAGCCTAATTTGCTGGAGCAGATCCAACCTTCAAGACTTTACACTTTACACCTCTCTCGAGCGGTGCATGTCAACATTCATTAAGAACATCAATCATGCTGTGGAACATACTCAAACAAACTCACTCTCAGAGAAAACGACTCTCTTGAGGTGGCTCCTTCCAGCTGAGTGAAATAGGTCGGCACATGTTTTTGCCAGACCTGTCGGAAACCTGCGAGCTACGTCCAGCAGTACTGACCAAATACACTTTGTCGCGGTTCTAAGGTTTGGCGAGAAGTGTACTGACGGAATAGCACGGTGAAACATGACCAGCCAAGGCACATCTAGGATGCACTGCAGATCAGTAAAAACCACAAAGAATACAAATGTCCAATCCAGGGGCATGAGGAATGCAGTGTTTCCGTCAGCTACTACAAATGCCACGGTCGGCCATCTGCTTTGCAGGACCTGACTCAACAAGCAATCTGGCATGACACAATCTCACGTGACACTTTGCAACCCCTAGGAGCAAGGACGCTACTAGGGGCTCCTGGCATCGCTACTAGGAGCAAGAAGCTATTAGGGGCTCCTGTCCTTACTACTAGGAGCAAGGACGCTATTAGGGGCTCCTTGCAACATCTTGAGGCTGTGTGTCTTGTCTTCCTGGCCTGCAACACTAAACCAGGCACTTCGAGGCAGTGCTATTCAGTGTTCCGCCGTCGCTTGGCGACCTCATGCGAGATGGGCTGCGATAACTCTTGATGATGTGTGTTGAAGTTAAGATATTTGCATATTCAGAAAAGTCGGCTGCACTCTGTACTACCAAGCTTGAGACTCTGATCTTAGCACCTTAATCCTGGATCTTTGCCACTGGCGGCACCTTGCAATGGTCAAGTTGGAGGACGTTTTCCATTCCTGGCGAATCTGCCTGCTTTCTCTCTCCAGGCAGCTTCGTTTTCATCGCTGCAACCGCCTGCCAGCCAGCATTGTTGCGCAGTTTGATGCTTTTACTTTAACAGAAGACGCAGCGGCCTCAGCGTTTCTCGCATTGAGATCATGTATTCGGCTAGTGACCGAAGATTGAGCCTGCAGCAGCAGGCTGTCACGAGCATTTCATGATCAGAGATCGACAAGCAGTCAATGTTCACAAACGTTGCCAAATATGGAAAAACATGTGGTTCTTCAATTAGATTCTCCACAAGCTTGGGGGCCTCTGACCCTTGCGGGTGCGATTCACCATCAAGGGAGTCTGCTGACCAAACGCCCTTGTAGGCAGAAGCATCTGCATAGACATACCTGGCTCTTTGCTGTGCAATTTCTTAGACCCGACGAAGGGTGATGCAGTTTAAAGCTTTCTTTGATGCGGTGACTCGAAATCCGTTGAGTCCAGCACCGCTTTGACTTGTTTCCAAGCGTTGATCTTGTTGACACTCCAACAGGCCAGATTCGCATGCCATCTCCCTCTTTCTGAGCGGATTGCAAGCAACCAACATACTTGTCCCCGTTGGCAAAAATCGCGATGGCTTTGCCTGGCAACTGCGAGCTCATGTAATATGTCTTGATCACCCGTCATAGCATGGAGGACTCTCCATGCTCAGAAAGTAAGAGGCAGAGTCACGGGGTCACCATCGCCCGATTATCCTAAGGCTCCGGCATTGCTGCTTGTCTACCAATTCATCTGCAAGCCTTGGACCAGGCGTTGCAAGACAAGAAGGGTACAAAAAAGGAACTCCTTTCGGTTTGTGCTCCAGTCTGCCAGCCCTGAGGTCTATTTTTCTGCTTCGAACTCGAAAACGCCCACAGAACGGTCCACTTGTCCGCCATATTTCATGGCATTCACTCCAAGGTCCAAAATCCGATCAGGAATAACTTCCTTCTGAAATTGGGCAAATCCTGTTTCGGCTGCAGCTCCAGATGATGCCCAGAAGCTTTCCAGGAAAATCTTCTGCCCCTGCCCATCCAAACGACCTGCATCAGTGGTGATGACCGTCGCTCCATTTGCAGCAGCAACTCCGAGCTGATGCCCCAGAGCCTTTGCAACGGGTTCGTTGTATAGAAGGTCTGAGGCCACTACCACATCTGGATTCAAATCCAGAAGGTTCTGTGGAGGCTCGTTGATAATATCAAAAACTCTTGTCGAGAAATCCTCCTCCATCTCTCCCTGCTGATGCGCTGATTGTTCAGCCAAGCGAAGCGAGAGCAACGAGATGTCAGTACTGGTAACTCTGGTGCCACTGGCCAAGGCTGCCAAAGAAGGCAAAGCGGTGCCACAAGCCAGCTCAACCACGTGCAACTGTCCTTTGTGTCAGTTGAAAGTGCCAAGGTTCTACGCGATTGCGAATATATACTTGTGGCATCTTGTGGCAACATTAAAAAATGCTTTTGAGCACCGAGGCCGTTGCGTCCTGCCCTTTTCCGCTTTATGACACGTAGAACTGCGCAAGCAGCGACGAATGATGCTGGCCAGAAAAATGCGCTGTACCTAAACACTGCTGATCAATATCAAGGGTTGGAGACCATCCAAACACCCCAGGTCTCACCACAAACGCACCTGCTGCCTTCTGACCTCTGAAGTGGCCAAGTTGCAGCATGTTGGTATACATTGATGCTCTCATTTCCACTGAAGGATCTGTTTGAGCAGGTCTATATTCCCAAAGAACATATTGAAGTAAAGCCCAAATCAAGCTGGGATCATTCAAGCTGTCCAATTGGCACAATACCAAAGGCTTTGTCATTTCCGGCTCGAAGCAAATGCTTATTCTGGAAGCCTCAGCAGCACCAACAATTCACACTCAAGCATCTACTCTGCGACTTTCAGACTATGGCAAATCAATGCAAATGGAACTCTTGGCAGAATCAATCGGGTTCATTGTTTCATTGGCATGCTTCCTGGTGACCTTGGGGACATAGGTGAACTTTCCATAGCTTGGGCTTGGGGAACTGCTGGACAGCAATGCCACTCCATAGGCTTGGAGCCCAGAGAGCAGCCACAAAGGTACCTGATTGACTAGTGTTGGCAAAGTAAGATCCAGCGGCAGAAACGGATGAACCCGCTTAGCGCCTGCGGAAGAGTTTCTCTCCAGTCCAAGTAGCTCCGCCAAAAGCGCGGCCTTGGCGTTGACTTTGGATCACGGATGGAATTTTGGCAGCTTGTTTGGTACCAGCGATTTCAACAAAGCTTCTTTGAACCATTTGGTGTAGATCGCAAGTACACCTCCCGCTTCACGTAGAAATCTCGCAGACGACCTCACTGTGGCCGACTTGCTACAACTTGTTGTGTGCTATATAATGAGACGACTGGCCTTCAAGAAATACGAACGGATCACTGTCGTCCCGCAGAATCAAGAAATCATCATCTAAGTATGTGATCGTCCTGAGACAAGGTTGCAATCACTGAGCACTTCTGGCTCTGGTGCAGTATGTGATTCTGGTAGCTGAGTTCATCACATCGCACCATCTGCAAGTGATACTTTGCGCTTATTGTCTCGGTCAATCTGCAATTGAGCCTCAAATGGCCTTGGCATCACTTCTTGTTCATAGTCAGTCATAGTTGAATCTTTGTCAAATGGCTTTCTACTATTTCAGACCCTGGACATGAGTTCTGGGCAAGTCCCACCAGCTGTGGAAAGTATTTCATTCATAAGCGAACCACTTTATCATTGCGGAATTATCCATGCAAAGCACACGCTTTAATCTCGGGCAGCCACAGTGTTTCACTTCGACCAAATGCTCCAATCAGAAGTTCGATCCGCACCATCATGTCTTCCGAAATGCTCATTGACACCTACAGTTGAAAATTTATTCACGAAAGCGCACGTTGCAAGAAAGCACTGCTTCTACGCGATGCAGAGGTTTTTATCATGCACCATACGTCAAGGCACTGATCGCAGCACGCGTTCACCTTCTTGGAAGCTTCGCATCCTCGTACACAGCTTCCAGTTCCGAAATTGATGGTCGCACCAAAAAGCTCATCGAATCTTATCTACAGTATATACGCCTATCTCCGTTTGCAACCAGCGAGTGCTACTGAGAGTCAGAAGTGGTGGGCGTGAACTTGCTGTGTCTCCTTCAGGCACCAAAGAAATTTGTCATGATCCAATGGTCGCCTCGGTTCTGTATCTTTATGAGAACATGGCAAGACCTTGTACCCTTCAAATGGTAGCCCACTGGAGAAACTGACCCAATGTCCGTTGAATTTACAGCAAACTACATAGTGTGTAATCTTCTACAATGCATTTATGTCCTTGAAAAATTCTCCAGTTATGTCCCGTCCTGCCTATGAGCGTCCAGTCTCCAGCAAGAGAGCTCGGGAGCTCTGTGGACAGCTGTTCCAAATCAGAGATGAGTGTCCGCACATCAGCAGCATTTCCCGAGCCAGTAAAGCATCCCAGGTACTTCAAAAGTTGTGCCTTTGCCTCGCTACGAGAACTGCGAAGCTTCGCCTTTCCGTCACGACTTCGGCCTTGGAGGCCCGGCCATTTGTGTGACTGTGCGTAGCGAGCGTAGCGAGCATAGCGAGCGCAGCTTGGAAAGGGATATCTCCAAGGTCGGCCATGGTGTGGCTGCAAACTCCGCAGCCAGGGTCTCTCACAAGCCAGCATGCCCGACTATTGCTCCCATTCAGGCTCTGGTGTAGGTGGTGTTGATGATTGTTGCACTTTATCATGGGAGTGACAGTGAGACTACAAAGAGTACTTGATTGTGACTCAAAAGCTTTGATATGCTTGCAGCGTCATGCTCTGTGTGGGCCAAAGAAAGAAGAGAGAAAGCACGGTCCAAGGAATCCAGCAAATCGGCATTCCAAACTCTGAGGTCTGTGCATTCCAGGTTGCACGTCCGGCTTTCTAGAAGCGACAAAGACCCGCCTTGGCATGACAAAGCAGGCAAGAACCCATTCAAGCGCTGCACGAATGGGTTCACAACCCCAGCATCAGAAGAAAATACAAACAAGCGAGCACGAGCAGCTGCTCTGGAGGGCCGCGGGGATCTACCTCGCAGCATGGTGTGAGGAATATTTGTGCCAAGAGGAGTTCTCTCTGGTTGGGCCTCTGTAGCAGAAACAATCATTTCCACCAGCTCCTCTTCTAGCCTTGCAGAGCATCCACAAATCAAGTGATATACTTTTGGACCAAGCAACTTCCTGCCTGCCATTGTTCCACACACCAACTATCCTGGTGCCACTGGCGTCAGTTAGGACACCACGGCCATGCTCCTGCAATTTGCCGATGGGAGGCCAAATGCTAGTCGGACACAAATGGCACCTGATCTTCAAAGAGCTCACCAACATATATGAGGCCATTGGTGTAGGTCTTTTTCCCAACCTGCACAGCATGAAGACTTTAAAGAAGGCAACAGACTTTTCCAGGACGTCCATCCAAAAATGACTGCCTTGCTGCAGACATTGTTCTCAAAGACACCGGTGAGAGTAACACCGGAGGACCACCTCGCATGATAGAAGTGGTTTGGTGATCATTGCTGCACTTCAATTCTCGTGTTTCTGAGCACAAGCACGTGTAGCAGCCCAAGCCATTGAACATGGAATCCTGCAGGTCTTGAGATGGAAGATTCACTGTTCTGTTTTTGCACACACCCAGCCCCACAGTCGAAAACAACATGTCCTTGAACTCGCCCGTGTACTGGTCATTGGTGATGAAGGTGATAGTTCCTCTACCCTGAGAGACACGAAAGACTGCACAACACCGAGAGACACAGTTGGACCAGTTGGACCAGGTGTCGATCTCTCTGCAATCACAGCGCCACGGCCCGAAAGCGCCCGCCTCCATGTTTCCAGCGTGAAACTCGCCAGAGCATACGGAGCCACAACTCGTAGTGAGGGTTCCCTGTGACGGGAGAAATAGGGCCATGCAACTGCTCTAAAGGGCCCAAACTTGTGAGGAATCCCATGCAACAAATGTCGCACCCTGAACACATTGCTGCTCTGAAGGTCGCACCCTGCCGCTCATCTCACCAAACTGCCATTGGCCACGGTAAACATTTGCCTGTGCACAATGACGACAAGAACTTGGGGAACATCCTGGACACACAAACAAGAACTGGCTAGCAGCCCAAGCCCAAGTGCCTTGTCTGGCCACTCAAACGTACCCTCACCGTGGTAGAGTCCATTGAAAAACCTCAGTGTTCACTTTTGCTGTCTGTATTCAGAAAGTGCAGCGACTAGTGAAGCTCCTGCACTATCAGTGAGCTGTCTGAGAAATCTACTCACCCACATAGCGAGCCTTCGCAAGACAGACTGTCTGATTAACTGTCAGCGTGCCATGGACCCTGTCTTTTTTGTCTTTGTCTGTCTGGGGGGATAGGGTGAAGAGTGGAGAGGGTAGGACCGGGTAGGAGGAAGGGGGGTAGAGAGGGTAACCAATTGCACACAGAAGCGTTCCGAACTTAAGCTTCAAACCGTTTGCCCTTTATTTCCCTTTATACTTAGAAAAAATAAAAATAGATCAGCCAATGCACTCAGCACAACTCGCCTTGACTGACCATTCCAGCACGCCATGGCCCTGGAAGACGTTGTGCTCAAAGGTTCCCTGCAGGACTAAATGAGTATTAATATTCAGAGAATATGCACACACCATTTGCTGCTCTTCCCCCAGCGAAAATTGCATCATGTTGTAGATTCTTAGATTATCGACATTTATTTGATGAAATATATATATATAGTAAGAATAATGTATGATATGCATTTTTGCAGAGAGGGGAGAGAGAATGCTTGCCATCGATCTAGTTTGCGCTCACACCACTTTGACAACGGACTCCCAAATCTGCAAATGCTCTGGCCGAGCATGCCGACCTTGTAGCGACAGACTCCAAAGTCGTCAGACCAGCACAGCATGCCTTCACCGTGCATCATCTCATCCTCCGGGCACATGGTTGAAGACATGCTTGTGACTTTCATCAATGGCCTTATGGTGACTTGGTGACAGTTGCTTGCCAAGAATCCGTGGGAATCTCTCTATTTCTGGGAACGTCAAGTCAACATCGGGAACATCTTGAGACTGAATCATGTGACTATGGATTTTCCGGCTTGGCGGACTTCTGCCTGGAACTGGCCAATGTACCGTCTTCCATCTGGCCACTGGAAAACTCCGTACCTTCAGAAAAGAATAGCAAACACTTTGAAAACAAAGGGCTGCAGTTGCAGTTGCGCCAAACAACTGTGGGGGCGGCTTGTGGATGCTGTTGTTGAGGAGAGTGCCTGTCGGCATCTGAATCTATTCATGCGTCTACAACCAACAAGACGACTCTGCGGGGCTCACTCCTGCTATTGTGTCAGTAACAGCTTGCTTCACACCCATGCCAGCCCATGCTGTTTTATGAGTCTGCAATTGGAGACTGGAAAGTTTGGAACACAAATTTCAAGCGTTGGTGTCGCATCGCAGCATATTACAGCTTCCCGCCTGTGTACATGGAACCATTGGCCCACTTCTTTGTGCCCTGAGCTCAGCAAAGGTCAGTTAAGGTCTACATCCGAAGACGAAGCGACCCAATGCCTCTCCGGTGGCCCCGTGGTTTTCAAAGACGCCAGTGATCATGGTGCCATTTGGAAACCTCGCAAAGACGCTGTGCGCACAGCGGATTGTGCACCACAAGCAGCTTCTTCACAGCCTGTGACATCCAGGGCCGACAATTTCGCTATTGTGCCAGAGGCCTTCAAACTCAGTTCCTGGCTCTGAAACAAGCAAAATCTCAACGCTGCTGGATCATGCTCAATGTGCTCCAATTCTGCTGATTTCTAATGCCTACTGAGTTTGTTCAATCAAGTGACTCCCTATTGGTTTCAGGATTGTCAAGCTTGCTGGCAACACCGTCGGGCCAGTGAAATGTTCCACGACCTTCCAGTTCACTGTCATGGAACTGCCCCTGCCATGAGGTCAGATCTGGATTGATTCCATCAATACTTTCCATCTGGGCACCGGCCTCAAACCAAGAGCCATCAGGGAGGGTCTTCTTGCCCTTTCCCTCAATGCAATTGTGCTGGAATTCTCCTGGATGCACATGCTGCCCGTGCCGCCTTTTGTCGATGGTGTGCGAATGCTTCATATGAGTTGGTTCGGGATGTGAACATCCGGTTCTGTGTCAGTGTGAGTGAATGTGTGTGTGTGTGTGGTGCGTGTGGCCAGCCTTTGTAGCTGGAGCCGTCTGCCCAGGTAAGCTTGCCCTTCCCTTCTCGAATGCCATCCTTGCACAAAAACATGTGACTATTCACCCACACAAACCCGCGCACTTGAGACGACAAGCCTTCCACTCACCATCGTACTCGATTCCATTCGGCCATTTCACCTGAACCCCAACTTCACTATCCATCCAACTCTCAGGAATATGAAAAGCGAGTCATCGTTTGATTGCACCACGCTGCCTTACCGCGGCCATTCCTCAGCTGGCGACTTGAATGAATCCAGCGAAGCTGAGAGACTACACGTGATAGTGACTCCGCAAGTTTTTGTCAGAGCCAAGTCTCATCCGATTCTGTAGCCATTGGCCACTGTAAACCCAGCCCTCTTCAGCACTTTCGAACGTACCCTGCTGCGAACCATGTCCAGTGAGAGTAACAGCAACAACAACAACAAAACTGCAGAGCTGGTTCCAGTGCCTCACCATCCTGCATTTCATGCTTGAAGCTTCCAGCATAGCGATCTCCATTTGGCCAAGTTCGTGTTCCCTTCACAACAAGTGGCATTCGCATGATAGTCTGTCGGAACATGCCAGCAGATTGTGCAACATCTGTCCTTGCCATGGAAAACGCCCTTCTTCAGGCTGCCTATGTACTCCTGACAAGCGATTCTTTTACTAACTCTCACAATGAGGAGGTTTGAAACAGCCGTCCTCCCCGGAGGGCCAAGTCATTTTGCCCTCACCCCACATTTGGTCCTGTCACACATCATTTCATGGAAATGAATTCTTCGGATTTCTCATTGACAGGTGCAGCCCACTTGCAGCTATTTCCTTGGGTGGATCGCGTGAACAGCACAATATGGAACATGGTTCAATCCCTTTTTCCGTCTCCCGCGCTTTGGACGTTTCTCAGAAAGTCACTTCTCAGCTCAACAAATCTCCCCTCGCATGGGAGGACCTTTCCGTTCACACAGCGATGGATCGACCGCGACCTCTTGAAGTTGTTGCACCGAATACTCAAAGGGCGCAGAGCTCCAGGAGACGTTGGCCCAGCAGGCGCCAGTCAATTCGAAATGGCCAAGTAATGTCTTTGCAGTGACGATCTTGGCGGTCGGAGTCAAACATTTGGCCATGGCCGCAACTTCATCCAAAACATCCTCAGGATAAGTCACTGAATTCATGAAAATCAGGTCGGCATCACTGAAGTCAACGTCCGCAAAGCTGCCGTATATGAACTTTGGAGGCCTGTAACTGGCTGAGCTGTGGAGAAAACAAGTTCATTAAAACTGAATCGCACCTTTTCAGATTGTAGAACAAGTCTCATGTTGCTCGGCAAATGCCTATATAGTGTGTATATATAGAGAGAGGGGGATGTCGCTGGGCAAATACATATATATATATATATATATGATGCCTACAAGAAACCAATCGAGTGGAGTTATCTATATACCTATATAAGTACTTGAAATCAAAATCCAACCTCCATATGCACTGCCATCCTACTGTCCTGCTTGAAGAGAACGCGCAAAGCTAGAAAGGCATTGCAATGGCTGCCATGTTTGCTGTTCCACTGTATTGGGCCCCGTATGCAACCTTTTCATGGCCACAACAAGAAAATAAGGGAGAGAAAAATGCTTCGCGCTGCACATCGGTCTATGTGCATGTGCACGACGCGGCCTGATGCCAAGGGAATTCATCTTCTGCACGACTCTGCAAGATGCTTCCCATCTCGATGGAACAAGTTCAATGCCGGTGGAATTGAGACCGAAGAGTGATGCAAGCACCTTATATACATGCTGCCATCACTGACCATCCCCGAAATCAACCAACAAGCCTTTCATTAGTGCAATGGGACAAGCTACAGCAATTTTGCCAGTTCCGCTGCCGAGGTCAAAGAACCTTTGGCCAGCTCTGGCGCCAATACATTGTAAAATTGACAAGAAGCCCTCAGGGAGAATCTCCTCAGTTTAGGGCCAAGGTCCTTTCATTGTTGCTCCAGATTCTTGTTTGTGTATCTTAGCTTGGCAGACCGGTCTCAGTTTACTGCTGTGTCATCCAAGGCTTGGCCGATTCACACACATTGAACGTCAAAGTCTGCGAAATCAAGTTTCTCCATAGGTCAGGTCTGAGGCCTTTAGCGTCTTCAGCTGGCCGGTGACCACATCGATTCCAGACATCCATGAGGCGTTCTTTGATTGGCCCTTCACAGTGCGCCCAACTGTTGGAGAGTCTTGAGGCAAACGTATCAACTAGACTATCGGAAATGTGCCACAAAGGGCGACCAAGCCTCGTAGATCTCATCCAATCTTACAAGATGTGCAAGAGTCCCCTCACAGTGAAAGAAACTATGCTTATATAATATAACAAGCTGCAGGGTGAAACATAATGAAACACATGCCCATGCCAAAGTGCTTGAAGTTCTGGTCTGGTGCTTGTGGACAAACAAATGCAAGCTCAAAGAATCTGTTGGGATCGAGACCTTTCCAGGTTCAGCACATTCTTGGGCACCAGCATCCACAAGCAGATTTGCTTGAATGAGCACCAAACACAAGGGTGCAAACAGAAATTTGAGTTGCATCAACTTCCTCTGAATCTTGGCAGCTTAGGGCCAAAATCTGCAGTGGAAGCGCGCTGCTAATTGTTCATTGTTCACTGCACAATGGACAAAATTCCCATCTAGGTCGCATTCTGCAAATGCAGTCGAAAGAATCATAAACGCTTTCCTGCCTAGGGAATTTTTACAGTGATCTCTGAAGGCCAAACTCAATATGACACAATATGACTATCCTGCGTTGATTGTCAATTGTTTTGATGTGCAGTCCTTCCGCCACTCCCCATCGTAGGTACGGCCAGTGGGCCACGTCTTCTTTCCATTGCCCCACATGTAGCCCTGCAGTGATAAATGAGTCTTGGATGCAAACGTTGACAAATTGAGGACATCAAGTTGAACATAGCACCAATTTACAAATGGTGTATATAGGCCTCGTGAAACTCGCCGAAGTACTCACTGCCATCGCTCCAAATGTAGTGCCCCTGCACACGTGCTAGTGTAGAGTGTGACCTTTTGCACGTTGTGTGCAGCTCAGGATAGATTCATTGATATTTGGGTAGAGGTCAACGACATGTCATGGGCTTTCTTGTGAGTGGAAACTGGGCGTAGCAATCCCTAGCATCTTAATTCTGTGTGGCGGTACATCCAATCAAGCTGTTACTTTAAAGTTTGAAGAACACCACAAATGCTAGCAAAGCAGCCTCGCCGTGCATTCTACCATTTAGCCAAGTCCCTACCTCAATCACAGTGGGTGCACTTGGTCAGGTGTCATCTAAATGTCACCTAGATCCAATGCATGAAGCTCTGGGATGTCAACGTAAGAATTGCCGTTGGAAAAGATTCGCTGGTCCTGTCAAGCACGAGGGCTAACCTAAAGGTATGTGTGCATTGTTTCCATCAACCCTCTCCTTTACAAGTCTGTTGGTTGTCAGCTTGTCGCTGTCTGTCCTTCTTGGATTGACCTTGGCTTGCTCGCAGCCGTGCAAAATCAATGAGACGTCCGTGTGATACAACGCTGTGAAAGCTATAGACTTAAGAGGGCAACCACTCCAAAATCAAGCCCTGATCGTTTTTCAGACATCAGGTGCTCAATGTTCAGCGTGTTATCCTCTGGGACAAATAAAGAAGCCCACATTGATGCGACAAGCGCAAAAAAAGCACACAAAAACAAACATATGCGCCTTTCGATTCACATGCTCATCAGGCAGTCTGCTTGGCACCTTTTCTAAACAAGGTGTCTTTGCTACCCAGAACAAACAAAGCTTGTATGTAGCGACATGTGGGGGACAAAGGACTAGATCAACCAGAGTCAATCAATGTCAATCATCCGAAGCACCTGTGGCCGCCCCGGGCGAGTCTCTCGCAGTGGTAGCCGCGTGGCATTGTAGCCATCTGCCTTAAAAAGTAGGCTGAAAATGTCGGACATCTCCAAGACTAAATATCCAGAACGTGACAAGTGGAACTGAAAGGCTCGTACCACTGTTGCCATCTTGGCAGCCTGGGCAAAGGAGAACAGTAACCGTTGCAAAGCAACATAACTTGCGTTCTCCAAGAACAAAATGAACGAGGGGCTGGCAGAGGGCAAAGGGCAGCTGCTTGCTCCCAGATTGGATACTAATGACTAAGCTAGAATTGACGGCAAAGACAGAGGGCTGTGACTGTGAATGTCCACCTGGTCACCACTAGTGACCTGCACATGAGCAAGTATCTGATGGTTGGAGTTGGAGGCAATCGCTAGTAGGTTGGAGGCCATCGCCAGTTCATTTTGCCGGACTTGGTCAAACCCCGACGCTCCAAAGACCACGTGAGCTCACGTGCCTTTTGGAGCTGAAAGAATTGGCCGGGAACTCACCGTGTGTCACCGGCCACAAGCCGCACAAGTCTGTGCACTCTGTACAGCACCCCAAGGTATAAGCTACTCGGGCTCTCTGCCAAAGCAGCTTCCACCGGAAGCTCACCAGAGCTTATCTTGCTGGTCTAGTGAGCTTCACCCTCCAGAAGCTATCAATAGTGAGAATTCTGCCAAGCCTTTACATTTACAGCTTGATGCGCATCTTCATTTCACTGATGATCTCCTTGGCTGTGCTCTGGCACTGCAAAAGGCAAATGGATTGGGCCTGAAGCAAGGGGGTTTCACCAAGAAGCTTCATTCAATGGCAGCAAGCCAGTCAGACCATAGTCCAAGCAAACTTTGACCAATGGCTGCGCCCTGTGCATCATTTCCTGCAAGTGAGGAACGAGTGAACACAAGTAATGCTTTAGAGTGCATGTTTTTCTCCAAAAGCATGAGGTTCAATGAGATCAGATTCAATTCTATACCCGCACCCGCACTGCTCTTATGAGCAGGCCTTACCTGCGCATGTAAAGAGTAGTTTTAGACCATGCTCAATCGTGTATCCTCCTCGAGGTAGCTATTTTGAACAACGTGCAGAGGAGGACAAGCCACCCGAAGAAGCTTGTCCTTGATGCTGCTTGCAACAGAGATGCAAGCAAAGCTCGGTAAACTGCACAAATGCGCCAGTCAGCGCAGCATGGGGCAGCCAAGTAGCATAGTAGTGATCTAACATAGAATTGGAGATGCCAAATGCCTGATACCTTTCAAAAGATCAACAACTCTCGCCAAAAACGCTAAAATTTGCTATCTATTTGCATCTCTCGAGCCTGTCAAAGCGTTCATGTGTAGCGAAGGCCCAAACTTCTTCCTGCAATTCCAAAGCATCTACACTGCAGCTGTTCTAAATATTCACCGGTCAATCAATCCTCAGATTTTGGGCGAGGTGTATCTGCCAGCATCAATGGAGCCCCAACCTCGCAATTGAACTGCCAGCAGCCTCAATCATGGCAAGCCAGAGTTAAGGAAGTCGCGTGTTACAGACACTGTGCTGACAAAGTTCGTATGATGCCAATCTCGCCAGTTGCCTGCCAGCTTCAGCATGGTGGTGTCCATTCATTTCCCGAAGAAGTCCCAACCTCTAAACGGTCTGCCCAGCGTGGCCACAGCAGTTCTGGCTCTTTCACGGCATCGTCAGGCACTGAATTGCCGTTTGCTGAGCCTCAAAACACAAAACATGGAGCCAGCATGACTGCAAAATGTGTTTGTCTGCAGTGTGCAGTATCATAATCCAAAACATCTCTGCACTGCCAAGCAACATGACACTAGCTCGATCCTTGCAGCAAGGCGTTTGCAAAAAAACTGCAAAAATTGAATCTTTGCATTCACACAGTGTGCAGTTCGTGTCATTCAGCCAAGAATCATTCGCATTGCATCTCGGATCACAACCCATTCTGCGCCAGCATTCTCCATGATTTGTTGGGCATTCTTCACCTCTTCAACAGGTGCGCCTAATGAAACACATTAGGCCTCAAGACCATGCAGCGCAGTCGCCTCCTTTTTGTCTGGAAACACTTTTCCTTGGCCAACAGAGATGCACTGGATAAAGAAGAGTAAACAACTGTTCCTTCGATTGCGGTCCAGGCGCTGTCATCAGCATCGTGGAGCAAGGCAGCCAATCTAACTGCCTGCTTACGCGCTGCCCCAATACCAGTGGCGAAGGATAAGGCCTCGCTCCCCCAATACTGCAACGACACGGCTCCAAAGTGCACACAAACACCTCTTCTATCCTCTGTGGAATAACCGGTGGGGGTTGAGAACCCCATTTTATAGTGATAAATGACTGAACCAGGCTCTGGGAGCACAATGCCACACTATAGAATCTAGCTTTCAACCCTTGTAGTGTACAGCATAGTTTCTCTATAGAATAAAGGGAGTCAACCTTTAAGGCACTAATGTAACAGAATTGTAGGCTCAAAAACTGAATTATCCAATAGAAACAGCCACGGGTGGTCCTCATTCTATAGACAAGTGCGTGTAACATCAAGGCTGACATATTATGTTAGAGGAAAGTTACGCAGCAATGGCAAAAGAGGTTGGCATTTTATTCTATAGAAACATGATTGAACATTGCAAGGCTGAAACTCATTTTATAAAAACAATATTGGACAGAAAATGACACTCCAAAAACAAGATATGTCTATAGAGGTTGATATGCATTTTATAAGGACAGGGTTGGACACTCACAGGTTGATATTTTTTAGAAAGGTGGGCTGAATGAACAAAAAAATCATTTTATAGTGGGCCAATATTCACCAGTTATTCCACAGGAAATGTGGGAATGCATGCACCAGATTGCACAAGAATGCGCCGGATATTTCGTGAAATCAGAATCAGAATCCAACCTACCTCACTGTAAAACATCCATCCACTCTAAAGTAAACTCTCAACCTTCCACTGTTCCAGGTTCTCTCTATAGAATCAAACCCATGTCCTCTATAAAATGTCCTCAATTGTCATGTATTCTCTATAAAATGAGGTTGATCAACCTATTGACCCATCAATATATGATTTTCTCACCTCAGAGATCCTCAGAGTGGATCTGTCTCAGGTAGGTTGACATTTGATTCTAGAAAAAACTATCTATAAAATGCCAGGTCATTTTGGAGCTCGACCTCCCCCATTCTATAGGGGTTATTCGGCAGAGGATCCTCTTCTTATGTTTGAAGTAAGAACCCCAATGGCTCCTGCTGCCTGGGGAACAACGCCTTGAGACCTGATGTGAGCGTACATAGGCCCTAGGCCCTACTTGCTTGATAGCCAGATGTTCTCAAATGGTATAGAGACCACCACAAAATTAGTCTGCCAAAGCTTGCTCTTGCCCTTTTTTGGATGCTATGTCATTCTGAGATACAAGTTTAATCATGAATGAACAAGCTCATCGGCCAGTGCGACAACCAACTTGCCTGGTGGACATGTTCGAGCACACGAATCGCGTGTCCAAAGCCATGTGATTCAGCAACATTATGCTTGGAGCAAAGAACCTCGTCAGGTGCCAAAGCGCAAGACAAAAGTCGTGACTACCCCTTCTCTAAGCCTAAGGTACAAGGAATTAGCAGCAATACTATACTTCCAATGTCCCAAATTGGCCCCGTTATGTTTCTTGAGTCGACCCCCGCCAAGCCAAGCATTCGAAAAGTCGTCCAGTAAAGTGAGCTGTACAGCAGGACTTGTTTTGAGTCAAAAGGCAGGGTCATTGGCCAGACATTGGACAAACAATCAATTACTGAACCACCAATCCATGCCAACCTGACCAGGGTAGAAGAACACTAATCGTAGCTCGCCCAAAAGAATACCCTCAAAATTCCAATGTCGTGTTGGAGGAAAACCTACACACGACGATTCAAATCTATCTTAGCCACTTCGACATGCAACCCCTGCCTTCAGCTCTTCCACTGCTGACAGAAGCACAGGATCATCCATCGGAGCAGCCGGAAATGATTACCCAACTCCGTCGCACTATTTTGGCGTCGCTGAGGCTGTTGCCTTGGAGAGCCCCTTTTCTGTGTTTTGCCAAGGCTTCTCTGTCCCAATCTTTCCGCTTCTGCATTGTACTGCTCTTGCTGTCGTTTCCATCTGCTTTGTTCTCCCACTCAGGTGCTTGTTGTTGTGGGCATTAGGGGGCGTAGAAAGTCAGCCTTCCCTCTTCGACATGAAAGCCTGGTATCATCTGACATCATTGGTGCTCATTCAATTTGCCTCTATACATCAAAAACACGGCCTCACAGTGCTCAAATGAAAACACATGTCCAAAACACATTTCTTCGACTGCAGCAAGCGTTTCAGCGTCCCAAGTGCCACAGCTTCATTGAAGACGTGACCGAACGCTTTGAAGATCCAAGATCTTGAAGGCCAAGATCATGCATGCCTGGCTAAAGCCGCCGGCCCCATTTTCGGTATATCGCTGCAGATCTTGTGACATTCTCAACTCCATGATTGATGTTGTACGAACTCTCGGCTTTAGAGAGTGTGCAGACTTGTATGCCTTCGGCAAACGAATGTAGTGCACCTCCATCTGAGAGGTTTCTGTTTGAACTCTTGCTTTCGGCTTCATCTTCTCCTGCATCCCGACTGATCACGGAGCTTCCAGGTCCGCCAGGTCAAAATGATGTCTTGTCGAAGCAGTCATTCTGTAAAATGCTGAGGAGAAGCTCTGCCGTGAAAATGTGATCACCTGGACCCAGGCCGCTCTTCAGGTTTTTCACCCAACGCTCCATTCGAGCATCGGGGCGAGCGTGCAACATTGTTTGCAAGTCACTCAGCTTAAAGGCCGATGCAGTAGAAGAGCACGATCTGGTCGAAGAATCTGGGCTGCCTGGCTTTTCTTCTGACATTTCACTTGGCGACTCTGGTGGTGAGGACGATGTTCGCTGGGTTGATTCTATCATTCCTTTCATCGAAGGGCCCAGGATTCTGGTCACAAGGAACCGCAGCTCGCTCAAAAGCTCTTCAGGACCTTTGCAACGCCACAACACTGCAAACGTCTTGTGTTTTCAGGTCTCTGCTCAACGTCACCCTGTTAAGCTAGGTGAGGCGTACACTGCATGAACACAAAACCAGGAAAAGAGCAGGGCTCTATTTCTGAAAAAGTTGCTTGAGGAGATGGGGGTATTGTATATATTACTGTTTGTATATTATGTGTAATATGTATATATATATATATCCGCCGACCCCAGCCGATGGGGGAGCGCGCCAGAGTATATATTTCAACTATCTATTTATGTATTTATATCAATTCTCTTAGCGAGCCTGTCAATGGCAAGAAAGGCTCTGCTGAGCGCCGAGGCCGGTAGGAGGATAGCTCGTTGAAAAAGCTGCACATTCTTTGCAAGGCGTGTGAAGTTTGAAGATGTGTGAAAGACTCCGCATGAGGCACATGCTTAGCAACGTCAGGTGGCCTTTGCAAGACTGTGAGATGAGAAGAGAAGTTGGAGAAAAAGGAGACGACAACAAACAGTTGCAAAATGATTTGGTATATTAAAGGCCAAGTAAGAATGCAAAACAAACATAGATTGGCAAGAAATGGACGACCGTCTATACTTCTACTATCCAGCCGGTGTACTCTTTCCATGGGAAATAAACGAATGTTCAAAGCCACTCACCATGGTGCCCCAAAAAAATTGAACCCACCAAAAAACAAAAAACGCACAGTCGTCTGCAATCCCCTACTACCCGCCTCCAACCTTTAAGCCTTTACAACACA